AGAGTGTATCACACACACCCCTCGCCGCTTAACTCATTTGTTTCGTTTTTGATTTTTGTTTACCTTTTTGCGAAAGCGCCATGTCCATTCTCGCAGCTTCCGATGAAATATCATAAGGATAAACAAAAATATACGTCATAATGTGCGATACACCGGGGATGGATGGACGGCGGTGATACCATATGTGTCAACAGGGATGTAATAATTCACACCATGATGTAGAACTGTCAGGAGATTTATCAAAGTGCAAATTCATGCAAAATCCATTAACCGGTCACTGGTTGTAGCACTGGGCTCATGATCGGTAGATTCGATTTCAAATCCTACCTGGGGTTGAACAACACAAAAGAGTCGACCTCAGCTCCCTACCCTACCCTGAGTGAGAGTGCCTAGCGGCTCAGTGGCAAGGTTGTCTCCACTGGAATGTTGGTCTAGGCCCGCAAGTGCCTGTGTTCGACGGGCATGGTTGACACCAAGATAGAGCATTACGATTACGATTAGAAGGTGCTCACGTAGTCCCGAATATCATGGTTCCTGTTGCACTTTTTGTCAGCACTAACACTTGAAATTTGAACATAAAAAAGATAGTCAGGAGCGACAACAGTGACATTCAATGTCCGAAACTGTCGCCTTGCGGAAAGTCTTATTTAAAAATACATTAACCCAGGGATTATGATAGTGGCAGGGGAGTTACGCTGAGAGTGGCGTGGGTTACCTGTTGAGAATAATGAAAAAACATACCAACATGAACTTATCTTTAGTTTTCTGTTCGTATCTCGCTGTTTAAACTCACGATTGAGATTTCAATCTAAATCTATCATGATTGACATTACCCGCGTTTGAAAAAAAAACAAAAAAAAACACCATAAATCTACTCAAATATATAATTAGATACAAACTATATTCCGGTCAAGAACGCATACAAATAAAAATAAACGGGACTTCCGTTAGTGAGGTCAATCGTAATACGGTGCTAAGTAGGGCGTCCTTAATGCGTATCATAATTCATGTTACCCCAAACACCTGTAAACGTTTTACCACTTGTATTTTCAAAAGTTCCGTGTTGTGGCCGTTTATGGGACGGAAACGGCTTCTTTTAAGATCATCAGGACAATAAAAGATTTCGAAATTCTAAAAGAGAGCAATGTGACTGGTACAATAATAATAACGTTGTTTATTCATACAATATTGTCATTAAGTGACACCCATAAGCAATTCATATAACGAATGACATTTTAACGACTTATCGGACTCCAGTTATAGATGAGATTATGATATGGGTGCGGGGACACGTTGGACGTGAAGCAAAGGGATATATAAGCAATAAGTTATTTCACATGTAAGGTGGTTGACCTTACATATCGAGATAAACAATTATCTACACTGGAACGGTTCTCATAACTCTACCCCCAAAAAGAATTGATTTGGGCGGGTTGGGTGATAACAACTCTCCGACCCGTGTACCGTCAAAAGATCCTGGCGTCACTGTAAGAACGTACACAGTGCATCGCCGCTGAATATGGGATTTCCGCGAGACGACGTATTTATCACACTTCAGCCGAATGAATGAATGTGTAGATTAGTGCAAGAATTTGTCGAAAATCCGGCCTTGTTGTTTCAAGTAACTCTGTCTAGACACTATTATCACAACGCAGTATCCGACATCTTATTGGCTACATAATTATGATACATTGCTGTGTATCCAATCAGGATCCCCGTTAGTGATTCGCTTGTTCTGCTGAAGTATCACTCATGCTTGTAATATACCAGACAGCCAATGCATTCATGATCAACTTAGGGGGTCTGATTCAAGCGGCTGTGATATGATGGAAGCCTACCTTGCTACTACAATTTTTGACACTGTCACAGTGTCACAGACCCGACGGACTATAGTTGACAAAGATGGACAAGTAACATATAAGCAAAGTTCCAAAAGTGTTAATTATAACGGCATTTGCGCGATAAGGTCGTGAGAATAGGTTATCTGAGTTCACAGTGCAGAACCCCCGGACCTATTAAAAATACCGAAGAGGCGCACATTAATCATATTTAAATGTTAATAACTTATTTATGAATTATTCGGCACCTCTTTGATGTGTATTTTGTTTGTTTTGTGACAACTTCGTATCTCGTGATCACGTGATTTCAGCTTATCAATGTATGACGTACACAATTCTTGAATAATCAACGATCCAAACGACTGTGCGGAGTGGACGGAATATCGATGCTGATTTCTTTTTTTTACCTTCGATATCTTAGTGTTTTTTTCATTGCATTGGTAGATTTGACTGCCACGTATTAACATTCTGAAAAAAATAATAGTCCTAGAGCTTGAAGGTAAATAACAGAAAATATATATATTATGTATAAAATCTCGGACATATTTGATAGAGAAAAGCAAACAAATACAGCCACATCGTCGTGTGTCTGCAAGCTCACCCAGAGTTTCTATTGGACAGCCCCTTGTGCAAATATACTCGTTGTGTCGAAATAACAGCAGCAAAAGCCCCGTTGAGAAAGAATAAACTCTTGAATGGGTATTTTATTATTGTATTCTTTGAGTAAGTAATGGTTCTAGCCATCTACATGTTATCGGATATTTGCCTTTTAGCGGACATCGACATACTCTTCGTTAACTACCAAGTATCGTGCAATACATGTGACCCCTCCGGGGAGGGGGCTCAAAGTGGACCAGATACAAAACTGCGTCACAATAGACCAGATGCGAACCTGGGTTCCACTTAACCAGACACGTGACTAAGTCTGAGTGAAGCAGATGCGAACCTGGGTCGCAGTGAACCAGGTACGAGCCCAAGTTTCAATGAACCAGATACGAACCTGAGTTACAGTGAACCATATTCGAATTTGAGTAACAGTGGGCCATCATCGAACATGAGCAACTATGGCCGAGTTACGAATTGAGTCAACTTGATTCGCAGTGAACCAGGTATGAGCTTGGTTCATAGTGGGTCAGATTCGAACTAATTAATATCAACATAAATATACTGCAACTTTTACAAAATACAGCTTCTAGTCTGATTACAAAAATCCAAAAACATGATCACATCACTGTTCTATATTATATTTAAGACTCTGATCGTTATTATTGGTATTATACATCTGCTGTAACCGTAACGCCACAAGTTACAGTGTGCCGTAATTTTGCGGTATTTTACGGCGTATTTTCATCCTACCATATAAGGAAATGCGAATTCCAAATATGGAGTGATTACGCAAGTTATCGTCCTCTAATAATAAAAATAAACATGGTTGCCACCAGATTTTGACCGGATTCAACACAAAGAAGTTCGCTGATTCTGTTCTAAACATTTTGGATTTCGGCATTTCCATGGTGTATGCTTGGAAAGAAAAGATGTATAATAATAAAGTTATTACGAGAATACCTCAAAGTATGCGCTCAGACAGTACGCAGCGCGTCGGTAGATACTCCCACTGTATTGTCTTCGTGCATTGAGGTATACCCGTAATAACCTCATATTATTATTTAATTATTGATGTATGTACGTAATAAGTTGTAAACGGAAGTTCATTTTTTAGCAATAAATATAGTACATGAGGTGAGGTGACAGGGGCGTGTTGAACTAACTTACCGTGCCAGGTGGTACCCGCAGTTGATTCAACAGTATGACTCAAGTCTTAGAAATTACTAGTATATTATTTACTTGTTAAAGAACAGTTATTTGGTCTGAGTAAACAGCACATATATATGGTGATAAATGAAATATAAATCATGTCGTAGAAAACTGAGATGCCACTGTCACTGTAGTGATTATGTGTTTACTTTTGTTGTACTGGCCCAAGTCGCCGGCTTTGGATTACTATTGTGTATTTATTGTAGTCTGACATCAATTTCACAGTCGATTTGATTTGTCAACACGTGATCTGTAATCGATCGACATCTGAAATAACTGTATCTGAAGTGACTTCTATTCATCTCATCCGGCGGATATCATCTGATATAACTTATTCGTAGAGCTGAGTGACGAGTAACGCAATTGGCTTATATTATCCGCAAAGCCAAGGTGAGTTGGATCACAGGTTGGGATGTCATGAGTAATAACAAGCTCTATGTCAACGTCGAGTGCGAAACAAACCCCAGGGGAATCGTAATTGTACGTAATTACGCCCTTGAGTCGTATGCTAATAAGCGTGACGTCTAAGCGCGTCGGTAGACGCGCATTCACAGTTACGGTCGCAAATTATTATCGATAATCGACAAAAATATTATTATTCTTCGATCGATATATTTTCGAAATAAACTTTCAGTCTAACAAGATAGTGTCATTGTTGTTATTCAGTCAAATTTGTTTCTTTCTTCGCGTATTTTTGAACACGCACACACCGATGAGGTTTACCGCGAATATTGTGACGTATTATCATAATAGCTAGCGATCTTTTGCACTAAACGCCACAACTGTGAATGATACACATCGTGGTCATTTGATAAATGTAAATTATAATATTTTTTTCAGTTCAATAGACAGTTTGCATTTAACGACACTTTATGTTTTGTTCCGAGTACGTGTTCTCTGTCGTGTTTACATTACTTCGTAGCTGTTCGTGGTAAAACCACTAAACTAAACTTTTATTACACCATGAATTGTAGCACAATGTTTGATTTGAAGTACAACGCAATCTTGAAATAAAATGAACTAGCTGGTTTAAAATGTGCGTGTGTACGTGTTTGAGATCATGCTCGTCGTGGAGTCGTGTAATCACTAAAATCGTATTAAATAATATGTATCTGTCATACTGCATGACGGTTACAATGTTTCATTTCATTTCATTGAAACAAGGCAAAAATGCATTCGTTTGTATACAAGAAACGATAACCATGAGCGTACATATCAATCATTGGGAACAATATTTTCAAGCTATCAGTTTTATGATATATGTTTATTTTTTATGACAACCTTATATCTAATCTCTGTATACATTAATGTCAAATCTAGTTCTGTGTTGTTCCATACGATATTATTTCATCCGTAATGGCGACGCCTCCCATCGGTGTTTGATGCCAGATCCCAACACACCACCTCCCCTCTCTTCCTTCTGCCTTCCCATTCCTCCTCATACTCCCCCTCCTCCCCTTCCTCCTCCCCTTCTTTCTCCTCTTCTCCCTCCTTCTTTTCACCCTCCTTCTCCTCCTCTTCCTCTCCCTTTCCTCTCCCTCCTCCTTCTTCTCTTCTCCTCCTCCTCTTTCTCCTTCTCTCCTCCTCACACTACTCTACTTCCTCCTCCCTTCCTTCTCCTCTTCCTCCTCCTCTCCTCGTCATCCTCATCCTCTTTTTTTCCTCCTCCTCTCCCCTCTCTCTTTCCCTCCTGCTCCCCCTCTTCCTGCTCCTGCTCCTCCTCCATCAAATCTATCGTTATCAAAATACCGACTTTTCAGAGGGGAATATAGCGTTGAGATAGCCTTACCCGACCATCATCTATTGTGTACAGTACATCATTAAGCCTGGAATTACTCCCAAAATACTTTCGCGTTTGTTGAATTTCAACGCTGTGACTTTCGTCTTGTTTTTACGCTCAATGCCACTAATAATGCGGGATCTCGCAGTGAACTTGACGGAAAATGGCCTACTTCTACGCCACTTTAACTAGTTTAATCCAACGTACCACAGAGTACGTCAATAATAATTTCAGTTTTACACGTGCTATTTTTCATACTTGTCGTAATCAGTATAATTTATGGAACCCGAATTCTGTCCTATTTAGTGCCAGATTGTGCTGAAATTCCAGATCCGTCGCACAATTAAGTTCATCGTGAACCAGATCACGTTTAGTATCAGAGACCGATCACGCCGAGCACTCATATAGTCACAATTTTCTCAATATGGGCAAGAACGATGGAATTATCAAGGCTCAGACCAGTAAAAGAATTGGTGGTCTGAGGTCGTGGCGTGATAGAGGGTCTGTGGTTTGATGATGTGTCATACTGTAGTGCTTCGATTCAGCTGACCAAAAGACATGCCAAATATAGGGACGGTTGCGGGTTTGGGTATTTGCGGCAACACCCGACACTCCCGGGCCGTCTCCGAGGTGCACCACCGCGTGTTAATGACGTGGGTCAATTTTATTTCAACCCCCGGCATACCAGTAACTTACACACATACTCATACGTTTTTGAGAAATGTATAGCCTGCGATAAGACATATACCAAACAATGCTTTTACTGTAACAGAAAATGTTATAGCACGCCGTGAACTCGTGGGAATAAGTACAAAAGACAGAACTCGGTTCTAGATAAGTATCACGAATGTTTCACTAATACACATAAATCATTATGAATAATATTTTGTCCATCTCATCGGTGATGATATTTATTTGTTTTATGACAACTTTATATCTTATCTATTTATGCATTCATAACGGATGATAACAGCGGATCAATATTTGTCATATCTAGATTCGGAATTATTTTATTCAAAAATACACATAAATCATTATGAATAATATTTTATCCATCTCATCAGTGATGATATTTATTTGTTTTATGACAACTTCATATCTTATCTATTTATGCATTCATAACGGATGATAACAGCGTATCTATATTTGACATATCTAGATCGCCATTTTTTATTTTGAATTGTGGCTTCAACCAGTGCAGCGACGACAGCACACATTGCTGGGTTGTATGACGTCATTCGAGTCACCCACCTCTCATTCTCATTCACTATTTGTGAAAGGTGTGCACGAACTCAATAACACGTTTTAAAAAGTAAATAACGAACTCGTAATTTAACAACTGGTCCGAACATACATGGTTAGCGGATTAATATGGATTAATATGGATCACCTAATTCGGTCACATGGTATGGGTGTCCGAGTACGTCAAGCGATCTGCTGTCTTGTTAGTAATCACTGAAATTTCCCCTAGATATTATCTATGACACCACTGCATGGCAGGTAAATGTGGGATTTGAAAAAATGCAAAATCCTGAAAATGTTGTATTCGTTTGGATCATTTGTTGTATGTATGGTGACCGCGTGCGCCACGATGAACCACCTGCGAACGAGCCTGACTTTGCTGACGTACTCTGATGACAGGTATCACGTGCTACAGAAACCAGCAAATGGCGCCGCAGGAACAGTTTTTCAACAACAGTTCAGAAAGTTTCTAAAGCTATATGCGGTGTAATGCGCATGTGCAGTTTATTAATTTGACAACCATTTTGCGCTAAAGTTGGACTGTTCTGTCAAATATAATCACCTAATAGTACAACTAGTTTTATTAAAGCTGCAATGACTGTAAAAATATTGCGATAAATCATTTTACAATAATTTTACTGTCCTGTTTTCGTCTGGCTCAGCGCAAAGTGTGTTTTTAAATTCAACTTACGGCTTTATGTCAGCTTTATATTGAGATACTACGTGACACCTGTGACTGGTGCATTTTGTATATAATCCGGCAATTCGCGCAACGTCGTCTAAAAAAATGTGGGTTTTTTGGTTCTTGTTTTTTTTTGGCAAGACGTTCAGACCAGCATGGTCACCCCGCTAATGACGTGAAAATTAGGCTCATGACGTTGTCTCTTTCGTATACTAGTACTTCTTTTTCGCTCACGGCTCTCTGCAAGTGACTTGGTGACATTATCGTTCATAAATCGAGGCGAGGGGTCGTTTCGCAGAGTTGGTAATTTAGAGGATCATACCTTACGGGATGGCAAGGCCTTACTGTAAAGCTCACATAAATTTAAGCAGATTATAAAATGACCAGACTTTTATATCTGAACGCAGCGTTGTAGTGACAATGTTTAGCCAAATATTTCGGGTTATCTCGGCTGTCACGGAAAGCGTGATAGCACGCCGTGAAATCGTGGGAATAAGTTCAAAATATAGAACTCGGTTCTAGATAAGTATCACGAATGTTTCAATAATATGCATACATCATTATGAATCATATTCCGTCTCATCGGTTATGATATTTATTTGTTTTTATGACAACTTCATATCTTATCTATTTATGCATTCATAACGCATGATAACAGCGGATCAATATTTGTCATATCTAGATTCGCCGTATTCGGAATGATTTTATTTAGAATTGTGGCTCCAACCAGTGCAGCGACAACAGAAAACATTGCGGGTTCTATGAGGTCATTCCAGTCGTTCACCTCTCATTTCCGTCCACTATTTGTGAAATATGTGCACGAACATAGTGACACGTCTTAAAAAGTAAAAGAATCAAAGACATGTTGCAGAATCTACTGGTTCCAACAGGCATGGCTAGCTGATTCATAGCCCCTCCTCCTTTTCGGTAAATTCACACGATTTGTGGGTTCCCGTATCACGTGGTATTTTTGTCTGAACAGCCTCGTTCGCAGCCAGTCGTGCAATCATCGTTCTCCAAATTTCTTTCTATCACACGACTGCATGCTTTTTTTATTTGAAACGCGGGACGATGATCTTGCGCGCAGTGAACTGCGAACGAGGCTAGAAATTATTTACGTAATCGCACATAATATCACGCGCTCTAGAAACCAGCAAACGTGTCTATTGAGATGGCGGCGCGAGAAAAGAGTGTCACAATAGTTGTCACAGGTCGGTATATGCGGTATATTGCGCATGTGCAGTTAATTATTTTTATAGGCATTTGCGATGAAGTTACGATTTTCTGTCAACTGTATAAAAGCAATCAAGTTTTATTAAAGCCTAAAAAATATTATGATAAATCATTTCACAATAATTTTATAGTTCTGTTTTTGATTTGTTTTAATGTAATTTACGACTTTATATTGGCTTCATATTTGGACACTATGTGACAACTGTTCTTGCAACTCGTGTAACGCCGTCTACAAAATAGCGTTTTATTTTGCCCAATTATTGAAAGACGTCCGCAGAATCGCGTCATCGCTACCATGATCGCGGCGAAGGTTGAATGGGAATCAAGAGTTCCGTCCGCTCGGACAGCGAAACTTCTTTTTTGTAGCCCGGAATTTTCTATAATTTTATTTTATTATCCTCTTCAGCGGCTTCCTTTTCCGTCAAGCTGTTGGTTCAACATGTATCTTTAAAGCAGAGGAGTCATCACCTGCGCATGCGTCAGATGGCCATAGCGTGTCATTGCTTACAAACAAGCGTCTACCCATGAGCCTTTGCGTTCTAAGCGTGTGTTGTTATCGTCGCTTGGGACTTAATTCCCGCGCGTGCGCAGGTGTCGACCCTCCCGCTTTAATTTCTAAGTTTGAAACTATTATTGTATATAGGTCTTGTCTTGATCATCTGCGACGGCCATTAAATAAATGCTGTCACACAACTACAATACAACAATGCTACAGCATAGTCACTGTCGTGTATGGCTCTTATGTGATTGGTGGCAGTAGTCATGGTTACTAAAGGCGTTAGTATGTTTCGCGGACCCTTGGGCAAAGCCATATGACTTGCCATACAGATCTGTGACAGAATCTTGGGAAGATTTCACCTGGCGATTGACCTGTGACCTCATAACTATAAAATAATATACTAGTACAGATATCAAAGCAAATGGCGATATGTCAACACTGTACACTTCACATTGACATTGTAAGAGATATGTACAACACGTGTTTTGAAATAATCATATTTTTGGTTTGTTTTTTAATAAACACGAACTCCCTCGTTCCGGCCTCTTAATGTTCCTTTCCCATAATATCTCATAACTTCCGGACAAGGGCTACAGTCGTCGCGTGCGCGCGTTCAAATTTCACGTAGCAGTCGGTGTTAGTAGATAAACACTAGTTTTCCCACAACTCAATGCGATCTTCTGATAAAAATCACAAGTAAATCACCTAACAATTACCTAATTAAAGCTTGGAAACGTCTCAGTTTGTACTCGTTGATCTGCACAACAGTCAAAGTCGCTATATTTGTTTATATTAGACCCATATATATCGCGCATGCGTGGCAAGACTTCCGCCTTTTAAAGGCACAGACACAATTCAAACGGATTGTATACGTCGCTATGAGTCCCATATCGAACACAACGCCATGTGATGACTATAGAATTTCACTAACACCACGCGATACATGACAGAACAAATGATCTTGCATGGCAATCCTATAGGATTGTATGCACTTTAATTTGTTTTTAGAATTTGCCTATGCCTTGCGTCATCGCATTACATTCTGGATAACGGAAATAACAACAGTAGACGACTTAATTGTGTGTTGCAATGTCAGGTGGTAATGTTATCCAAGTACATGTACCCCCAAATAACCCGCCGCCTCGTTCGCAGCCTGTCGTGTAGTAATCATTAAAATCGTCCCCAAATATCTATCCAACAAACCACTGCAGATAAATATTTGAATTGAAACAGCGAAACCCTGAAAGTTGCATGTGTTTGGTTCATTTGCTTATATACGCGACGGACACG